ATGTGTCAAGTTTATGCCAAAGATCAAAAGTGAAATTGTAGTCTCAGACAAACAGCAAATCTGTTATTCTGTAGCTTTGGAGACACGACCCGGTGCAGACTTTATTTTGCACCGCTCAACCATTGTGCTGAATTAGTCAGCTATCCGGGGGATGAATACGAGAAACGGGAGCAAAGTGCAAGCATCACATAGCATGGCCAGGTGTGTCGCACACTGTAGCATTACTGTATGTTTCGCAGATTATTATTTATTAATTATCAACTGTGGTGCAGAGGTAGTGAGAAGAATTCTATCATCAAAATCAAACTTGGCGTCGCGTTTTGGCTTCGAACTCAACACTTCTAAAGTATGCGACAACCCGTCAACCCATTGCGTCAATGCCGCAGCCTCGTTAAGCAAACATTATAAATCATGCACGATTTTCCCGCTGAAATAAAGCTATAATATGGGAGGCGTTCTCAGACTTCCGGCCTTGATCAACCAACCTCAGTTTCACGTGACTGGATCACTAAAAGGTTTAGAATAGCATCCTTAAAAACATATAGGACATTTACGCGATGTATGCAATAATTGGATATACCGCAACATTCATATCTTAGCGAACGTTATGGGATTTTAAGTTCGAATAGACAACTGATCTTCAAAAGAACGGTCTAAGATTCACAGTTTAGCGAATGATCCGCAATGGCATCGAATGCCTCAAATCATGGACATCTAAATTATCCACTGTAATTAGGGACCGCCTACGACCTTTGTAATTTGCCGCCATGCGTCAGTCATTTCAGTGCTGTTGTCAAGTCTTTACGGTATTGTTCCCTGTGTTTGGTTCAACTTCCTGAAGGAGCAAGGCTTCACACTTTCAGAGTTCATTTTTATTATATGACCCTTATATTCTATTTTTTGCAACGAATTTTGTTATATGTATAGCTCCTGATTTTTGAAACGATTCAAAAGGCGCTTTTGATTTACATACCAGAACATGAAAAATTCCTAGTGTTCTCATTTTCCTTCATATATTTCACACACTCAGTTCTAACTCGGAGAGATCTGTACCGGCGATCCGTATACCTTTTCTGGCATAGAGTCTGAAATTGCCAGAGTTGCATGAGCAGTTACTTGCTTACAGTATCCTGTCTCTTCATTAACCTCTTGGCATATGCATTTCATGGATCTGTTTAATCCTACAGTAACGTATACTCTTATGAGGATAGATACATCATTGCGCAAGCTATTAAATATGGCTTGACTTGACGTAACATAACCAGTCGTAAGTTGCGCACTCTCTTGCACTGCTGTTACATCACTCTAGACCGATCGCTCTTCAGATTCCGTGCTTATTTTCTAATTGATTCACTGTTTGCCATTTGCACTAGGTAGAATGGCGGCACTCAACTGCATCTGACCATGCCTCAGTAACAGAGGCGAAATGAGGAACGAAAAGCCAACGATGAATGGTCACAACCCACGACGAGCAAGACACAGCCAAAATCTCCTCCTACCATACGGCATGGTTCTTTCGATTGCGACCAAATCGGAAGCAATCAGTGATTAAACTCTTGCAGCGGTTTCACAAGAAGTTGTTTTATTCGGTGACCATCGGAGGAGCCTCAGCATGGTGATCAGATGGCTATCAATCTTTTCATGACTTGATGAACAGACTGCTGCTCCAGCTTAGAGGCAGCGGTTGACATTAATGAGGATTTGTCTGTATCTTCAGTCTCACTTCCAGAACGTTCATTGTATGGCCGGAACTCTTGACTGCGACTGCACTAAAAGTGGATAAGTAGAAAACGTTTACTCGTGCTCCAGTGCATGTGGACGATAGAGTATTGATTACAAGCAGCTTTGAAGCTATAACATTGTTGTTTATACTTCTAAATCAGTGATACAGGTGCCCTGGATGCCTGCATCAATTCATAAATGAAAATCCCGTCAAGCTGATGCACTGCTAATCTGCGTCATTACGGATCAGCAAAATCAGGAAGGGACAAAGACGAAGGAAAGATCCCCCTGTGATGAAGAACGCAAAAATAACTCAGCGGTTGTAGGAGGTGCAGCGAAGGCCCGACACGGCATATCATGGGACCAAATGAATGAAACACACCAAGAGAAACACTTTCCAAGCCGGAAGATACAAAACACCTTTGTAATTGAATCAAACCACTGCATATGTAGAGAGGTTCGCATGAAGTTAAGTTTGCATTGGAACGAGGTTATGAAGCAACTGCCACTATCAAGGCTAAAATCTCCAAAATGAAGTCTGTGCTTAGCTAAACCGATGTATACTGTAATATGCTGTTTATAATATGTTCGGGATCATCTCTTTAAAAAAAAACTTGTCAAAAAAACAAACGAAGGAAATGGGCAGTAACTGAACGCGCAACAAGCCTACACTTGATATGAAGGTCTGGAAAGGTGTCAGAGTTGTTGCGCACGAGGAACGCTTAGGCTGCACAAGAAGAGAAGAGATGTTACATGCTGACATTAACAGCGAGTAGCAAACAAAGTAAGCTCTCCATGGACAACGACGTCGATCATAGCACAAAGCTGCGGATCTACGGAGCTTGCCTTCTAGGCGTCTTGCTCTATGAACAGAGCTAAAAGCAGAATACCAGAAACTACAAAAATGATGATTTTCAAGTCAATTTTAAGAGAGACATGGTACCACCTGGTGTGGAACGTTTGGAAGCTGAACAATTAGGAAATGTTACCATAGCTGCACACAAGGCATTATTAATAGTGGCTTCATTATTAGTCGGCAAATACGCTATGGCTTCCTTGTAAGATAGAGATGGAACGTAGATCTTGGCGGAAGTCAGGATGATCTCCTTCAACATGATGAAATTTCATTAAAAAAATGACGTAGCATTAAAATTATTGAAGAATGAGCGTACGTTTGTTCCATCCGATGGATTTCTTCTACTCAGCGGTGTCTTCTTCAAAGGAAAGCGATTAGAAGACCATTGGAACCGAGAAGAACGAGAGACCAAGCCTTGGGGCTTCGATCCTAGCGGAAACTACGCTTTTGAAAAACGCTTATGAGTGACCAATGCAGTGCAAAAACACACTGCTCAAGATGTACACTTTTGAGGAAATTATTACAGATTAGACCTATTTGCTTGGAAGGTGACGGGGTTGAATTGAATACAAAGCATGCTGACGGTCACGAAGTAGCAACCCTTGCACCTGTTGGGATAAAGGGTCCACTTTGAAATAGAATAATCAGTATTTCTGTGGTACTGGCGGGCAGGCGATATTGATTATGATATTGCTTGACAGAAATGACTTCCACTGGATGTTGATAACGATCTGAAAAATTAGTCATATCTCTTCTGATAATCGTTGAATGTGGCATTCGGTAATGTCAAATTAATGCTGTGTCAATTCTCATGTCACGTTTGACTTGATGAGGCCAAGTTTGCATGTCAGCGGTACCCGCTTGTCACTACGCCAACGTTAATTAATGCACTGAGCTTGGTGTTTTCTCCGTACTTTGTTAGCACTGTCAATGTTATGCCAATCTTTATGTAATGACCCAATCTTCGTTCGCTGCTGCTGCATGCACAAATAATAATGGTAGCACATGCAAAAATGAATATTTTCATTCATGGTGCTTAACACCATTTTTTTATGCGAGTTAATCAGACACCCTCATGTGACCAATCATGAGGTAAAGTTAAATAACGCGTGACAAAGTTTCAGAAGAGTTGAATGCTCTTCTGGTTGAAAAAAGTTTCAGCCAAAGTGCAAGAATGCATTTGTAACTTAGTCGGTGCTTTTGCAGCAGCATCTGAGCTTTCTGCATTTCAGATGGGTCAGACGGCAAAAGACTACTTGGAAGATCAGCAACTTCTCAAGGTGCTACGACATCAGCACCATCGGCTGTCCCCGGGCGAGTCGAAGAACATCCACAGCTGCATCGGCCTGTGGCTACGCGACGGCTGCCTCGCGAAACTGGAACAGCTGATTCTAAGCGGCTGTGGTGACCTGCTGACCGGGCGCCAGTCGAGCAATCCTCTGAGTCAAAAATTTCTTCAGGAGGTTCCTCAATATCTGGTAATTTTGCAATTTAGCACTCATCCTTTGATTACACGTCTATGAATCCTGTATTGATCAGTCACAGTGACCGACATATTTTGTGTCCACTTGACCTCCTCCCGAATGAGCTGCTAATATTGCAGTAATTCGATCGATAACCATAAAATTAGTACAAGCGTTCAATATTAACAATATTGCAATGTATATGTTCCTGAGATCACACGGCACGGGTCGTTTTATTTCAGAGGAATATAGAAGAATTTGTAAAACTTCGGGCAACTGCACTGTAACGAATATCTCAAGCCTTCCTCATACGCGCTGCATATCAGATATTACAGTCTTAAATTTTCTTCTATGACGATCAATCATTCATTGTTGGAATTTTCCGTGCTGTCATTTTGTGAATCACTCTTTTCCTTCAGAGAGTCGTTGACAAAAAAATAAAATTTTTGCATGATTCATCGTTATCTATTGGATTACTACTCACTGCCTTCATGGTCATAACTTTGCTTAAACTAAGTTGCCTCAAAAGTCATATGGAACACTGGTAGCTTCCCACTTTTATCAACTCATTATCAGAGCTGACTCGTCCGTTGTGAACTTTATGAACTTTATAATCTTCCGCAGTGCCTCAGGAGCATGCGTTCTTTGTTGCGTTTATTTAGGTCGTCACATCGATCCGTTCGCATATGAACCACGTTTTTGGTTTGTGACTTCCGTTGGATTCGCCGCTGTTTAATTCCTTTGCTATAAGACACCGACTGTGACACTGCAGAAGAAAATATTCCTCTCTGAATGCAGATCTGCCC